TGATACGGAAATACGAAGCAATTACAATTGAAAATAATCGTAAAAAATATGTCCCCCTTATGAATCGTTTATGGGTTGGGTTGTTCATGTTATACATAAGTGCTATTATACATAAGTGCATGTTATACATAAGTGCTATTATACATAAGTGCATGTTATACATAAGTTGTTCACCGATTAAAAAAAAAAAAAAAAAAAAAAAAAAAAAAAAATGAAAATGAAAATGTGTTGTTATTTTTTTAATATTAGTATGTTTTTCTTTGATTGTTATTAAATGGCGAGAAAAAATTAAATATTTTGAAAATCCTGATGAATGGTTGGTACTAGTATTAATTATTGATAATGAATACTGGTATAATAACGAATACCGGTATGAAATACCGATGAATGATACAGTACGATACAAAAATATGAAACAATTAAGATTAAAAATAATTCCAGAAAATGTGCTGTCTTTATGAATATTTTGTGAGTTGGATTGCTCATGTTATATTTATCGATTTACTACAAAAGTGTGTGATCGTTATTTCTAATGTTATTATGTTTCTATTTGGCTACTATTCAAAGGCAAGCAAAAAATAAATATTTTTGGAAGTCCTGATGGAATTCTTAAATAATTTATTAGAAAAAAGAAAATTTTTTTAAAAACTGACAATCCATTATACTGATGATTAATGAAAAAGTATAAAACGAAATTGCATTAAATGTTTGCAATTAATTATCAATACAATTCAATCGAAACTCGTTAATATTATCTGGAAATAATCACGTCCTTTTCTATTCTTTCTAATTGTGAAAAACCATGCTTTCCTTATATAGCTAAATCAAAATAAACATTGATTTTATAATATACACAAATAAAATAATATCACGAATGACGGACTTAAATTATAAAATAAAATTCAAAAAGATTTATTTAAAGTCTTTGTATTAAGAATCCGAATTTTTTATATGATTTCAAATACAATATGAGATGCACTAGTATAAAATGCGGGGGAAAAAAAAAAAAAAAAAAAAAAAAAAAAAAAAAACGAGAGTGAAAATGCTGAGATATGCAATTTTCTGTTCTTTTGACCAATTTGAATTTCATTTATATTCAAATATATTGTTATAAAATAGTAAAAAAATAAAATGAAATTGGTATTAATATGAGCAATAGCCACCCATTTAAGAGGGATTACATTGAATGGATTTAATCACTTAATACGGTGATACCAAGGAAAAGTATGGCAACAATTATATTGTGATATTCAACGCAAATCACAATCAAGATTTACTCAACAAAATTTCACCATTGCAAAAAGAGGAGAAGGAAGTGGAAACATAAAAAAAAAAAAAAAAAAAAAAAAAAATAGATTGATTAACTTAAATTCTAAAATATATATATATATATATATTTATAACTGTAATTTAATAATAAATAAAAAATATAAACAAGTTTATTAAATGTCAGCAATTGTAATTCGAGGTCGTTTCTAATACATTATCAGATATATGACAGTTTCACCGTTACTCAGTGAGAATCCTGTGAAACAAAATATTTTTCTCATATGTTTTGACAGTAAGATGTAGAATGAACAAATATGGTAGCATCTGAGGGAGTTTTAGCTAACTTCAATCTTGTCGAGCACTGAGAACGAATTTTTTCTCCCTACACGTAAATAATTATATATACTCTAGCCGAATCTAACATACATTGTCCTGACAAAAAAAAAAAAAAAAATAATTGTAGAAAATTACATATTGCGAATCTATTCTAAATGTTCCAAAATAAATGCATACTAATTTTTTTATGGTATCGTTTGAACGGTATATAAGAGGAAATACTGCAGCAACTGGTGGCACTATCCACTTTATTGTTAAAATAAAGTGGATAGTGCGAACATATTTTCAATAATCGAATACACAGCGATAAATTGAATGGTATAGGAGTTGATATACTCAGCGACTTACAATAAAGGGGACGGAATAAAAAAAATTCCCATGTTTTGTCAAACACACACAAAAAATTTCAGCAAAATAGCCGTTTACGATGAGCTTAGTGACAAACACACGTACAGAACTATATATCGATTACAGGGCCACCTACCGGGTCCAATTGGGAATCTAAACTATCCACGGACCCACAAAAACACACCCGAAAAAATTAATCGAAATATGTTTAGAAGTTTAGGAAAAGTTCAGTGGCAAACACATATACAGAATAATTATATAGATTGCAGCGCCATCTACGGATACAATTGTGAATCAAAATTATCCAGGGACCCACACAAACATTCATCAAAACTGGTCCAGCCTGTTTGAAGTTCAGTTACAAACACATGTGCAAAAGAATTATATCGATTGTAGCGCCATCTACTGGATCCAATTGTGAATCGAAACCATCCATGGATCCACTCAAACACACACAAAAATATTTCATCAAAATTTCATATATATATAATCATATATATATATATATATATAATCATATAATATATATATATATATAATCATATAATTATATAATCTCCCAAATTACATTATTTGTATCCATATATATATTTATATACACTCAAGAGCACCAAAACATTATGACCACCCCTACATTTTGCAATGAACTCACCTGGATGACGTGGAAGGCACGTGATGAGGTGGAAGTGGTATTAAGTGGTATTTCAACTGGTATTAAGTGATGGTATTAATCCATGCCAAGGCGGGTTGAAGCTGTGTTGCGCGCCAAAGGTGGGCCAACTCGTTATTGACAGGTGGTCATAATGTTTTGGCTCTTGAGTGTATATATATCATCAAAATCGGTCCAGCGTGTTAGGAGGAGTTCAGTGACAAACACATGCACAGAAGAATTAAGTATATAAAGATATATGCATATATATATTATTCTCTAAAATCAAATGAAAACAATTTTTTTAAAATAAATAATAACTATTTGTTAATGCATAATAATTTTTACAACGAGCCAGTGATTAATTTTGTAAGTAAAATTATATTTCTAGAGATATAAACTTATTAAAGAGTATTTATTTAAGATAACAACGAAAAATGTGGTAATTTGAGAAGAAATTTCATTTAATAAATTATGAAATGTCATAGAAATACATTTTTATGGTATGGAAATTTGAAGGAAACATTTTATTTAAAATTGTAATGAAAAATTATAAATTTAAAATATTACAGAATAAAAACAAATATTTTTCTATTAAATGTAATGCATTTTCATATAATGAAATTTCATAATATAAAGTCGGAAATGTGGTTCTATATAAAAATAAACAAGAAATTTAGAAAATATTTTATACAAATAAATTTTATGATAGTCTACTATATTTTTTCTAACATTTGTCTGTTTACTGTTACCTGTATTGAAAAAAAATTATAATGAAATTTTTGTTCTAATATATTTTCCCTTTTTCATACATATTTTATATTAACATTTGATGTAAAGCCTAAAATATATTATTTGACTTGCTTACTAGCACTAAATTTTCTTTTCACATAAACATGGTTACAGTTAAAATCACTGAAGCACTTAATAAATAAAATACTATACTAGACAAAAAAATATAAATTCAAAAATTATGTACATTTGTTTAAAAAGCAGACGAACATGAAGAAAAATGTAAAAAAAAAAAATATTTTCTTGTAATAAAATATTTCAATATTGAAAATAATATATTAAATTATATTATGTTTATTTATAAAAAAATATATTTATATATTTTCGTACCAGAATTATATTTTTCTTCCATATTTATACAAGGATCAATCACCTAAGGCTATTTTGTGTCTGCTGTTATTACATAATTTTTCTTTCAGGTTTATGAAAATTGTATATGAGTAATACAATAAAACAAGAAAAATTACAAAAGAATTCATTAAAAAAATCTTTAATTTAATTTTTGAATAAATTTATCTGAAAACAAATTTACGATTTTCAATAATAATAATAATATTAAGTAAATCCTATTATTAGCAGCAAAAAATATAAAATTTTTTGCTAATAACTTAACGTATAGCAGAATATAGATCATTGTATGTTTATTTGAAAATTTATTTATTCTTATTATAAGTCAATCTTTATAAAAATACTTTTAAAATAATAGTTAATCTTAAAATTTTCCAATTGTTTATTGTAAGCTTGTAATAAGTGAAAAAAAATCTTCTATCAAACTGTAAATATCACAAATCATATAACAAGACTATGTTTACTGTAATAAAAAAAAAAATAATAATAATAATTTCCACGTATAAATTAGTTGCCTTTTTATTTTATTATTCTGAATGTTATACAATTGTTTGAAAAAAGCTAAAATGTTATGTACTATTTACTTCTTTGCTTTCTATTTTGCTGCATGGGCAGTGTGCCAGTCAATATAGCATTTATTAAACTGTGTTTACAGATACTAAACTATTATATTTTATTTTATAAATATGATAGGACATCATAAAATAAACATTTCACTCATTACATAATATTATTTATTGTTATTCCCGACTCATGGCTCATTGGCAACGTGCACCACTGGTGAACATTAGGGCAGAGGTTCAAACCTCTGGAGACTTTGTTGTAGACACTATTCCAAAAAACGAAGAGGCTCGGTGGCGTTTGTGATGTTCAGCATCTTGCTTCGTTAGTCATACTACCTTTAGGTATTTTCCCGGGTTTACCCTGGTATGATACTCAAATGTGGGATAGTTCCTCCTAACAGTCCTCCCGGAAGGCACCGCTCTCCTTCTTCAGTGACATGAAGTCAAATCAGTCTTCTACGGGTGCTTCATCAACAACAGAAGCCATCCCATTCCTTCTATCAATGAGTAGACTATTCATGGGGTCTGCAGGACACTATGGATGAGACACAGACATACACAAATTTATATTTATATTTATTGTGGCTGTTTCAATATACCGGATAATGGAACGTCAGATACGCAACAGATTCAGCATACAGCTGTGATTTCTTAACGACATCCATATTGTGACACTACAATTTTTTGTTTGAGCCAACGGCCATACCATGCTGAATATACCGGTTCTCGTTAGATCACCGAAGTCAAGAATCATTGGGCGCGGTCAGTACTTGGGTGGGTGGGAACATCGCATGCCATTGGCATTCACAAATTTGGGACCTGAATGGCCGAGAGTCTAGCGCTCTGGCACTCGGTGCCACAGGTTTCGGGTTCGAGTCCCGGCGGTGCCATGGATGTTTGTAGTGGTTCGGAATCCACTTTAAGCCGTAGGTCCCGGTCTCCTATGACTGTAAGAGCGTCACGGAGCCAAAGTCAGACTTCTACCTACGGGTGCTCCACCACAACAGAAGCTGCTTCCTTCCCCTTCAATCATGAGTACGTATGGGCTCGTGGGCTTGGCCAGCCAAGTGGGATAAGAAACAACAAACAACAACAACACAATTTTGAATCAGCATCTAGAGATAATCAATTTCCTCCCCAACCTCGAGTTCAATGGTAAGACATTCCATCCTATAGATTTATAGCTACATTGCCTGAAATTGATACGAGAACTTTCGGTAAGCTTTAAATAACGATTTTTCGTATCTGGATCTCTGAGTTCCAAGACTTGACTCATTATCCACATTGCCTCACCGGCTCTTACGTTATTTCAACATTATATTAGGAATACTTTTGTACTTGTATGATATTTTTTATTGCAGTCAATTAATAAAATAAGATGCGTTAAACGTTATCCATCCATTTATTTCATCATTTTGTTATTAATACTTTTGTATTGGTACGCCATTATTGATTAGTTAAGTAAAAAACAAGTAATATATAAAAAAAATGTAAGTCAATACCTACTTTAAGTTGAAATTTTTCTCTTACATCTGGCGCCATCTATTGGTAGATACATGCAACTTAAATTTAAAGAAACTATAATTGATTAATTAATTAAATTTAATTAATGAATTAAAATTTGAAAAAAACTGCATTAACTTCCACTGTCATCCACTACAAATTCAAAAAATTTTATTTGAACTTGAGAGGATGATTAAAAAGTATTTTATGAACGATTGAAAATTTGAACAAGATATATATAGGGAGATTGTGAGCTAATAGAAGGAATTGAATAAGGGGGAAGTAAAACGTTATGTATCATGCCTCTCAGGCCATAACCTTTCTATAGATATTATTTTTATGTGTATTCAATAAAGATTTTTGCTTATTTCATTATTTATTATATTAGGAATATTCTTGTACTGATTTTGTCACTTTTAATTAAATTCAAGTAACAAATAAGGGGACAGTAAAATGTTATCCAAAATGTATCTCTTGCCCTAACTTTTCTGCAAACACCATTTTTAAGCATGTTCAATAAAGCGTTTTGCATATGTTAGCATTATTATACTAGGAACACATTTGTACTTGTATGTCACTTTTTATTTCAGTCAAGTATAAAATAAGCTGAAAGTGAAACTTAAATCATGCATCTTCGGCCCTAACCTTTCTATAAATACCATTTTTAAGAATACTCAATAAGACTTTTACTTCAACATTGTTATATCAGAAAACATTTTCACAGGATGCCACATTTGGTTACAGTCAAGTAAAAAGTGAAGGGACTGTTAAATGTTAATCATGCCTTTCCGGCCAAACTTTTCTCGAAATGCCATTTTTTGGCGTCTTCAACAAAGCATTTTACTTCTATCAATATTATTGTATTAGGAACACATTTGCACTGGTATGCCACTTCTTATTACACACAAGTAAAAAATAAGGGGACAGTAAAATCTAGGACAGTAGTTAACCATCATGAACAGTCATTATCCATTATGAACAGTAGTTAACCATCATAGACAGTCATTATCTATCAATGACAGTAGCTAATCATTATCGACAGTCATTATCTATCAAGGGCAGTAGTTAACCATCATGGACAGTCATTATCTATCAAGGGCAGTAGTTAAGCATCATGTACCATCATAATCCATCAAGGACAGTAGTTAACCCATCATAGACTGACATAATCCATCAAGGACAGTAGTTATACACCATGGACAGTCATTATCTATCAAGGGCAGTAGTTAAGCATCATGGACCATCATAATTCATCAAGGACAGCAGTTAACCATCATAGACTGACATAATCCATCAAGGACAGTAGTTATATACCATGGACAGTCATTATCCATCAATGACAGTAGTTAACCATCATGGACAGAGTCATAATACATCAAGGACCGTAGTTAAACATCATGGACAGCCATTATCCATCAAGGACAGTAGTTTTTCATCATGCCTCACTGCTCTAAACTTTATATAAGTACAGTTTTTAAGAATGTTCAATAAAGCCTTTTGTTTGCTTCACCACTTTATCATATCTATACTAGTATGAGATTTTTTGTAATATTTAAGTAAAAATATAAAAGGGCATTAAAACGTCATTCCTTATTTCTCTCTGACTTTTACTTTTAAGAACTATTTTTGAGCTTATTTAATATACCGTTTTATTTATGTCGTCATTATTTTATTATGCCCATTTTATTACATATATGCCACTTTTGATAAATTGTCGATTGTTGATTTAATTAAAAATTGATAATAAAAACTTTATTTAAGTTAATTATTGATTATTATCTAAAGTTTATTAAGTAAAAGTTGATTTAAAAAATAATAAGGGAACGTTAGATCATTATTCAATATGCCCATCCATATTTAAACAGATGCAATGAGATTCAATATTATTTTATCAACAATATTTTGTACAAGTATACCAGTTATGATAATAATCAAGAAAAGTATAAGGATATCAATAATATAAATATACCAGATCTCACTTAAAGGAGACAAGAGTAAAATAATATGCACTACTACGGAAAAGATAGTATTGATCACTGCATTTGAAACAAATATGATAATAATCTGCAAATTGTTGTTGACATAAATATGGTAATTTCTCAGAGACTTTTGAATCGATGCAAAATATTAAGAATCAATACCAGGACCAAATCTAAACTGTAATAAAATGTGTATAATGTATACAACAGACTCTACTTAAAGGTATGTTTTTTTCTTTTTCCTGAAAGTGTTTGGTGTTGATCTGTGAAATGTTTTTTTTTTTTTTTTTTTTTTTGTTTGTGAATTCTTACTTTGAAATAAATATGTTGCACAAATTATGTGGTATGGCAATGCTCTCACGCAATAGCTGGTCATTGGCATTTGTCATTGTCTTACAAATAGCTTTAAATTTCTGAATGAGAACATTTTTATTGTTTAGAATTCTTTGCTGAGTGACAATTTTTAATAACATAAAGAATATAAATTCCAGATGAAAAATTTCTAAAAATTATAACGCAAATAACACAGCTTATACTTATGAAGCTACTCATTTGACAAGTATTTATGTGTCAATTTTTATTACAAATTAAAATATTTAAGAATAAACTTTTAAATATTTATCAAGAAATCATGATTTTTAATGATGCAACTAAATATCACAATTTTGACATATTCTACTGATTCAGGCAGGTAACCTTAATGCGTCACTGCTAAACCACATGTTGCCACCTTGGACTTCAATGTCCTTTCTAGTATAGACAACGGGGAACATCGCATTCTTTCCCCCTTTTTGAAGCCCTATCGATAACATGATTATATATGTTATGCCATAATCGTCGTTTCTAGTTATATAATTATAATGATGCATAAATAGATGGACATCATTCTATCAATTATTTCTTAGCACTTATCATTTGCCAAGGGATGGGGAAACGCTATATTCTTTGACGACTCAATAATGCTCAAACCTGAAAGCGTTGCAATTTCTGCTTATCTACGAACTCGTATGAAGCCCATCTTTCACGTTTTATTTTTCCCTATTACAAGAGATGCAAAATGTCACGATTCAGATCAACAGCAAGTTCTTCAACAATTATTTTAGATTTAGTTTCTAATTTGCCCTTCAGAACATCTAGAAGAAGATTTCAGGTCTTCCACGATGTTCGTTTTTTAAACCCTTGATTTAAACTTCTCACAATACGATATCATTGATATCACTGATATCACCATGATATATGTGAAAAATCACAATTTCTGCCTATCTATCAATTCTTATGAATCCCATATGTCAAGTTTTATTTTCCACTTTCCAAGAGCTGCAAAATGTATCGAATGTATGCCTACTCCAAGATCAACTGCAAGTTTTTTTTTTAACAATTATTGTAGAGTTAGCTTCCCATTTGTCCTTCAAAACATTTTGAGGAATCTTTCAGGTCTTTTACGGGATATCGTCTTGATTTGAACTTCTAACACCGTAATCTCACTATGAGTATATTTGCTATATCATTCCCAAATCCAGCATTAATTTTTCATGTTTCTTGGATAGCAGAATGTTCAAGAATATAGTCATATAATAAAATGATTCATATTTTGTGGGATTCCATGTTTTTATTTGTGTAAGAATTTTCCTTAAATTTTTGATACTACTATGAGAAAACAATATATCAATGGACAGATCACAAAAGAATCAATATATCAAATATAACACTATATTTTAATTTAATTTTATTACATATTTACTAAGTGAACATCAACTGGGGGATTGATAGTCGAGTGACTAGCGCTCTGGCACTGCATAATTGAGGTTTCAGGTTCAAATCTCAGCGTTCCATGGATGTTCGTAGTTGTTCAGAAGCCGTAGGAAACTTTAAACCGTAGGTCCCAGTCTCATATGACAGTTCAGCTTAGGGCTGTCCTACGCGGTAAAAAGAAAACATCTCCTTTCCCGAAATCTGCCAGCAGGCAGATAGCCTTGGTCCATCATGGGGCTGTTGCACCAATGAAGAAGAAAAACATCAACTAATACGAAAAAGTTTATTTCATGTAGAAAAACCCTATAAAAGTTATCATTAAAACTTAACGTATTTTTTATAAAAATTATGGGATATTCAATATGATTATTCTAAATCTTCTATACTGGTCGTAGAAGATAATTGCAAATAAAATTGAACTCAGAGCGCTAGAATCTATAAAATTTTCCATAAAAACTCATAGGAACCTTCTGATTAATTGAGGGAATAATGTATTGAATATTAGGTGGAAGAGGGGGAATCTCAATGTTCTAAAGTTATCTACGATCA